ACTCCCAGCGGCCTCGGCCCTCCCGGTCGTTCAGGCCTTAAAAGGTTTGAGAGAAATCGGTCATTTGAATCCAGGTCAAACATTCCATGTGCAATATGTACATCTGAAATTCAATTCAAGTCAGTTTATTTGTTCATTAAGCACCTTTCACATCAAAATGAAAGTACATTACATAAAACCACATTAAAGGAACATGAAAAACACAGGTCTCGCTTGAGTAACTAACTGAGCATACCCGATCATAGATCATAGATCTCAAGCTCAAACACACCCACCCACAATATACACAATATGCCCCCCCTAGCCCTCTGCTACCCCACCATCCAATGATATCTTCAACTTTTCCCTGACACCACTGTGGAGAAACATTGTCTTTGGGATCCGAATGTGTTCATTTCTGTCAACCTTTCTATCTTTTCCATGTGTTACCTGGTAACAACACCACAAACAAAAATCCCAGTCAGATTTGAACCTAAAGTCTTCTTGTTCTTTTTCGGTCGATCAATACAAACTGCAAACGTTGTCATTGGTTGGGGAATAGTAAAATGCCAAATGCCATGTTCCAGTAGTAATGAAATGCCATATTTCAGCTCTCCAGTAGTTTTATTGTATGTCAGTGTACTTCAGAAAAAGCGTATTGCCTCTCCCTCTGTGTGGGCTGAGAGCAAACTACTCTGATTTTCACAAATATTCATGCGTTTTACAAGAAGGCCTCGGCCATGTTCTCCTGCTGAGGGCACTAAGGTCCATCAGAGTGAACAGGAGTCTCTTCTGAATGCTAATGCTACCGTGGTTATGTCTGCTGCTAACTGCTGGAGCAGTAGAGGGGCAGAAAGAGACCGTCTGCTGGACCCCGTCAAGCACGAGGGCGAGGAGAGGATTCGAACAAAAATAACATCCATCCAGGATACCCCACTCGGCCCCCCGGCATGAACCATTATGGGCTTTGAGTAGCTCCTCCAGCCATTTGAACTGGACCAGCAAAGCACTGATGCAGAAGCTATATCGATATGTTTGGTGTCAGCCAGTGACTCACCTGTTCTACCACTCTATCACAAACCCATTCAGACACGTTATTTCTGTTATCAGTATAAAAAAGTAAAACTGTTCCATACTAATTATTATTCGGTGAACTGTGGAATAGCAGAAATCGACTCAGTGTCCTGAGGTGAAACTTATTGTTGATTATGCACCGCATAATGATGCTGCATAGAGCTGGACACCCACCTATCCAGAAGGGCTTTCTTCCACTGAAGTCCCACAGCCAGTCCATGTTGGCTTTGGAGAGAACACTGGCCAGAGTTCCCTTATATCTGACATTCAAAAAGGACAAAACGTGTTTTTTCTTTATGAAGAGCGTAAAAAGAGAGCATGAATGAGATTACACAGTCTTAATACGTGACTGACAACTGAGCCGAGCGTGTATGTCCATGTGAAATCTGCTAATCCTGTGAGGAATCGGCGTGTTTGAGAACTGTACCGTTCTCTGCAGGCCTTGTTGGCTTCACTCCACGTGACTCTGCGCTCAGTACTGAGGATGTGGCACCGGCCATCATTGAAGGTCCAGCCCTGACCGCACACCTGGGCGCTCACCATCTGAGGACACGTGCACACATGTGGACATCGGTAAGCAGACTCTGGCTAATTGGTGGCATCCAGAAATGGAGACTCTTTACAGCATTCTGTTCACTTGATGGATAGATTTTTTTTGTCCCATGGTATCAATGATCCTTGTGCACATGCTGGTTCCTGGCTGGTTTTCCTTGTGTATTTGTACCTTTTCGGTTGGTACCCAGGGTTTCCAGGAGACGCCGTCACAGTGGAAGAGCTGCTTGATGCTTTGGTTGAGATGCAGGAGTCCCATCAACTCAGGAACGCAGGGTTTAGGGACAGGATTATCTGCTGCTGCCTATGGGCCAGAAGAACATTATATTTAAGAAAAACAGCACATTCAGAACTTTGTGATCATCTAATAATTATTGTCATAGTGATGAGAAATGTAATATCGTGTCTACTCTGTAAGTCGCTTTGGATAAAAAGATAAAGAAAAATATATTTTTTTAAATTAATCATTTTCTTTCTTTTTTTTTAAAAGCTTCCTGTACATGACCCCCAAGGTGTATGGCATGTTTCTGAGCATTCACCAACTCCAGCCCCCAAAGTCTCTTAGGTATTCAAGGCATCCCCATACAGTACATTTTTACACCAAGTCACTTTTTTATTAGTCAGATATTTATCAGTTATTTAAAAACACTGACTACTCATCGACACTTCTGCTAAGTCTTGACACAAAACAATTCATGGTTCACTTTGTCTGTTGGTGTTATAGTTTATTAAAGGTTTGATGTGAATTCTATCAGTGTTTTTCTTGCTGAGTGACCCTTGTGTTGTAAAAGAATGAGGCAAAAAGAAATAAAAAGGTACAAATCCACATCAATGCAGAACTTTTCTTTGCTGTCTTTATATGGAAGCGTTTCTGTCCCATAATTCAAACGAAAAAGCCTCAACGGAAATGCTTTTTCATTTTA